CGGAATTTACGCGAGCACGCACACGCGCAAATATTAGATTATATATGAATTCTTATACGCTGTCCATACTAAGTGATGTTAATTATAAAATATAATTGTAAACCCAATTAAGTGTGTGAAATTAATATGCAATGTACGTAACACATATACTTTGCATGTGTTCATCGTGAAGATTATGACACAAAATGGACGGTGTGTACCACGTGACTTTCGCAAACCAAGGAGCGGAATGTCGCAACTCTTTATATATATGGCTCTGTGGTATAGAAGTGACAAAAAATTAATACGAATCGATATTTGCTTTACCTGACGTGTTATAGTTCAGAAAGTATTTTCCTTAATGTTTTTAACAATTAAACATTAGCATAAGTTTCATTGTGTAAAATGGGACCAGATTTATAAAATTGGTTCACATTACTTTTATGCAAGAAATGGTTTCACTCGAACCACGATCTCCAGGCCACTAACCTGCCATCATACTTCTAGACCACCGAGCTTGCGCCTAATGGCCAGGGTTGAATTAGAGTCTAACGATAGGCCTACTGCAATGTTGATAGTAATTGTCATTGTCGTGATGGAATAGATAATATTGTCTACTCATTCACAACAATAACAATTACTACCATACTAGAATAAGTAAAATAATTTTGTGTACAGGTTCTTTATACCAGACCTTTTTTTTCGTAGGCCTATAATTTGGTCGAAGGGTTGAATTAGAGTCTAACGATAGGCCTACTGCAATGTTGATAGTAATTGTCATTGTCGTGATGGAATAGATAATATTGTCTACTCATTCACAACAATAACAATTACTACCATACTAGAATAATTAAAATAATTTTGTGTACTGGTTCTTTATACCAGACCTTTTTTTCGTAGGCCTATAACCCTTAAAAAGGTCACAACGAAGCAGAAGAAGAAGAACCATTCTTAAAGAACAAAATAGGCCTACTATATGAATACAATCTGAGCTTGAAAGCATGGATCCCGACAAGCAAGAGGCTGTATTAATGCTCTTCGGTTATGGTAAAGAAAAGGATGCAAGTTTGGCGTATCATTTCCCGTCATTCCTTGTTACCGTTCCTGAGGCAACGATTTACCCGGCTGATATCGGAATTCTTAAAAAAGGCGAATTTTTCTCCAACTTCAAAAAGAAGCACGCCGATGAGGCAGCTATAGTTTACAACTATCTCATATCCTGTGAAAAATTTGCAGATTTCGTAAAGACCGCCTCATACTTCAAAAGCATTCTCAACGAAGGCTTGTACTTGTACGCACTCTCAGTCGCGCTGGCGCACCGTAAAGGTGAGCATAACTTCGATATACCATTTCTATATCAGCTACATCCACACGCCTATTTCTCTAATTCACGTATCAAGGCTGCTGTAGCCCGTTTGCAACTTGACAAATCCATTCCAGAAACTGAGGTTGTACCCACATTCGTCACGGGCACACATCGAGACCCAGAGTTTAAGGTTTCGTGGTGGAGAGAGGATGTTGGACTTAATTGGCATCACGCCCATTGGCATCAGGTAAGTCAAGTAAATTAAAACTAGTGCAAGCAGCAAAATGTAATTAGGATTACCATACTCCTTTTAATCAACGTTCGCCAGCTTGTTGACAAATAATAAACTAGCTATAAGCGTTAGGTTACCAATTACAGTAGGCCTAATTTATAATTACATGTTGCCCTAATTTAAATCCATGTGCAATGATTTACAAAATGGAATTGGAGATTTATTTTTAAAAAGCAATGAAAAAACAAATTAAGGTGTAATTTATTTTAGACATTAGCCTATCACTAATGATTCTCTTTACAGAAAGCACCAAAAGAAAAAAATTATACCTAAGGACTAACTGGATTTAAATTACATTTTACCAAAGCTTTTCTCTTCTTGCCAACCTATAACACATTATTTGATGGTAGTCCATGTCTTTCGTGTGTCATTGTGACTTTTTTTTCTACATACGATGTCTTTTGGTAAACTGAACTGCAGTACATTCTACACTAACTCTTACCGTATTTCTGCGGTTGTTATTGAAAAACATGAACTGCTTCATAAAGATGAATTTTAAGTTCACATGGTTTTAACAGCCTCAGCATCTTTTAATGAGATTGGAGCGGCCATGCATGGGCTGTTTTTCAAAAAAATTACTTATAATGGTCGTTAAAATCACAAGAGTAGGCTAAATAAGAGAAATTATAATGGCTGTATTTCCAGGTAACCCAAACAAAACATATGTAGTCAGTTTTTATTGATAACCATAACACTGTGCCACTTTGTATAGTTATTATATTCTATGCAACACCGTTTCCAGAGTGTCCGGACGTACCCCCGCCCCCTAAAAGTTCACTTTGTTAGGCCTAAACCTATTATTTCACTAAAATCGTTACAGTTTGCATTGCATTTGCCAATATACTGTTTATGTCTAATG